AACCATGTGATGACTCACGTATGACTAATTCCAATAAACTCGTTTGGGAAGCACACATGTGCACCAAAGTAACAAGTCATTCACAAGACACATTTCTGTCATGCAAATTTGATTTTTTTTGCGTGAAGTTTGAACACCCTTGTAATCATATCTCCAATTTCAAATGGAGAATAAAGTTGTACTTTACAAGTCTTGACACAAACAATTTTAATTGTACTAGGAGTGTGTACGAGGCGCGGAATGTAAATTTATTATTTTGTGTATACTAGAAGAAAACGTACTAATAATTCAAAATTACGAACGTATTGGAGGCCGTGGCGTGTGTGTTTTAAAATGATGTGTGCATTTTTAAAAAAATGGCGTGACTGTGCGTTTTAATGGTATGTGCTTTAAAAAATCATGTGTGTATATTAAATGGCGTGGGTGTTTTAAAAAACGTGTGTTTTAAAAATGACGTGTGTGTGTTTAAAAACGACGTGTGTGTTTTTAAAAATGGCGTGTGTTTAAAAACGACGTGTGTTTTTAAAAATGGCGTGTGTGTTTAAAAATGACGTGTGTTTAAAAACATGTGTGTTTTTAAAAACGACGTGTGTGTTTTTAAAAATGACGTGTGTTTAAAAACGACGTGTGTGTTTTTAAAAATGCCGTGTGTGTTTTTAAAAATGCCGTGTGTTTGAAAATGACGTGTGTGTTTAAAAATGACGTGTGTGTTTTTAAAAATGACGTGTGTGTTAAAAACAGTCGATCGATTGTTTCTACCGATATCATGCTTGAGTTGTGTGAAGTGGATCGAAATACAATTTTGAGAAACGTGTTATTTTCGGACAATTTCGGTGCCATGGTGTGAACGCTTTCCTACCTTGTGTTATCATATGAGTAGTAGGCAAATGTACCGGCGACTGATTAACTATGCCGACCCTACTTTAGGTCATTTTTTATTATCCAAGAAACGTTCCGAGCGCCTGTGAGACCAGTATGAGTACTTTGTTCTGCCCCATTGTACCAGACGTCCACACATTGTCTTCAGCAACCAACCACACGAATAAATCACCAGGTCTCTGAGGTATACACAGTGTCGGTAAATTTATAGGGCAAAATGAATAAAATGTTCGTGCTGGACAA